GAATTCTCAGTTTAAGCATAAGCCTCTCCTATGGATGTGGCTGATTTTTGCTCTAGATGCTATCCCATTCAATTAGCCAGTTTAACACAGGCCAGTTTATTAAAAGCTAAAATTACAGCCCTGTAAAGAGGTCGTTTGGACTCTGTATGTCAGGAATTGGGTTGTTTTTCATGGTATTCATTGCCATGTTCAAATAAATGAACCTGAAAGATGTGACTACTTTTTCATCACTGCAGATGCCACAGTAATAGAGATATTTAACTGGTAGCAACCAGAATAACAGATATTCTTCTATACTGAGTTTCTTGGCTGTTTAAAAAACTGCTTTATAATACCTCTGGTTTATTTGTTTAGAATCTATTTTAATACATATTGCATTGTTGTAAGATGCTTCTAGTCTCTGCTCTTTTTTCAGGCCTAAGGCAATAGCTAATTGAGACTATGCATCAATAATTCAGGCATCGTCACTAAAGGGCCTGCGGAAGCGCTGCGTGAGATGCAGCACCTGTCAGAAAGGGGGCTGCATTTCAAATGAGGAGTATCGTATTGTATCACAATAAGTTAGTGTCCAGAGGAACTTCCCGCAGTACTGTGTTTTCTTAATGTGCTGAGTGATATTGTAGATTTTTTTTTTTTTGCTGGAATTTCTATGAAAATACATTTGAAGTAAAGTGTTTTTTTAATATTTAATTTTGTGGCTGGGTGCAGTGGTTCATGCCTGTAATCCCAGCACTTTGGGAGGCTGAGGCAGGCGGATCACCGAGGTCAAGAATCTAGACCATCTGGCAATATGGTGAAACCCCGTCTCTACTAAAATACTGGGCGTGGTGGCGCGCATCTGTAGTCCCCAGCTCCTTGGGAGGTGAGGCAGGAGGAATGGCTGAACCCGAGAGGGCCATGTTGCAAATGAAGCCAAGATTGCTCCACTGCACCCAGCCTGGCGACCGGAGCAAGACTACAATCTCAAAAAAAAAAAAATTAATTTTTTTTGGTACATAGTAGGTGTATGTATTTATGGGATACATGAGATATTATGATACAGAAATGCATGTGAAATAAGCACCTCATGAGAATGGGGGTGTCCTTCCCCTCAAGCATTTTATCCATCGAGTTTACAAACAATCCAATTACACTCTTCAAAGTACTTTAACATGTACCATTATTATTGACTGTGGTTACCCTTGTTGTGCTATCAAATAGTTGGTTTAGTCGTTCTTTCTTATTAATTTACTTGGTACTCAAAATACAGTGTTTATTTTTATACTTCCTTCTTCCATATACCTTTGATAGCAGTATAGCAGTGTTTTATTTACAGTAATTACAGGTTTTTTTTTTTTTTAAAACAGAGTTTCACTCTGTTGCCCAGGCTGGAGTGCAATGGGTGTATCTGCAATGGTGTGGATCACTGCAACCTCCACCTCCCGGGTTCAAGTGATTCTGCCTGCCTCAGTCTCCCAGGAGCTGGGATTACAGAGGTGCCCACCACCATGCCTGGCCTAATTTTTGCTACTTTTTAGTAGAGACGGGGTTTCATTATGTTGGCCAGGCTAGTCTCGAACTCCTGACCTCAAGTAATCTGCCGACCTCGGCCTCCCAAAATGTTGGAATTACAAGTGTGAGCCACCGTGCCCACCCTCAAACTCATATTGGAAATTTAGAGAGATTGCCAAGACCCTAGAATTTTGCATGTTTTCGCAAATTGATTTCATTAGTTCAAATCTCATACCACTTTTTCTAATTGATGGTTCTTACAACTTGACAGGTGACTGAGTTCAATATGATCAGAATTGAACCATTTCAAAAAGCAGCGCAAGTGGCAACTGCTAGAAACCAGACTAACTGAGTTTGATCCCCCTCTTCTGCTCCTTCCCTCTGATGGAATTCTCATTTTCCCTGGCCTCCCGCATTGACATTCATCCAATGCCCATGCTGCTGGATCAGCCTTCCTGGAGCCACATCCAGCTTGGAAAGATGAAGGGTTTCCAACCTTTTTGGAGATGACAATGTGTTATCAAAATCAACAAATTAATAGATTTGCTTCCTTTGTGTATTTTTTGCAATGTTCTGTGAGATATCAAGCCACTTTCCTGGTAGTTTCTTATTCAGTATTTCACTGTACTGCTTTAATAAAAGATGGTCAGGCCTCAACCCTAACAGAGTCACTTTCAGATCTTGTTAATAAGTTGGGTTTATAATGTGATACAGGTTTTGAGATGGCCCTGAGAACTTAGGTTTTTCGTAGGCTCTGTGGGCAACTTTCATGGGGCAGAGGTTTAGAAAGCTGGGAACAATCTGCCAGGCATCGAGAAGCCACTAGATGGCAGGGCCATCCCTTGGAGCCCATTCTTCAATCTAGAAAGTGGTCAGAGAGGAAGCCTGTGGAGTGGGGAAGAGTCCAAGTAGACACGTTAAATGCAAGTTAATAAGTGGATGGTGGGGCCGGGCATGGTGGCTCAGGCGTGTAATCCCAGCACTTTGGGAGGCAGAGGTGGGCGAATCACTGGGGACAGGAGATTGAGACCATCCTGGTTAATGCGGTGAAAACTCATCTCTACCAAAAATACAAAAATTAGCCGGGCATGGTGGCGGATGCCTGTAGTCCCAGCTACTCAGGAGGCTGAGGCAGGAGAATGGTGTGAACCCAGGAGGTAGAGCTTACAGTGGGTTGAGATTGCGCCACTGCACTCCAGCCTGGGCGACAGAGCAAGACTCCATTTCAAAAAAAAAAAAAAAAAAAGTAGATGGTGAAGATGAGCTTAGGCGTTGCATCCTAGTGGGAGAGTGGGAAGGATTCCTGTCACTTCTCACCTCTTTCTAGCTTTACCGCCAGTATTTGAAATGCGTGGAGGGTCCTTAACTGAAACTCTGCAGTAGTCAACTGTGCTGTACTATAGCACGACCACTTTAAAAAGGTGAAAGTAGGAAAACTAGCTCAATGAGAGGGCTAATATTTTTATGGGGCAAATGATTTGAGTTGGTAGACATATATGCCCTCCTACATGATATAGGAGATAGAGTGCAAAAACCAAACCAAGTGTTTTTTCCTACCCTCACTCACCACACGCTACTCCTCACTCCTCACATGCCAACCAAGCAAGCAATTTTTCTGCAGATTCTGCAGTGCACACCAGCTGGGTGTCCTCTAATTCAACTCAATTCTGACACTAGCCATCTGGAGATACTGTCAGGTCCCACAAGACTGTCCCCCACTTCAGAGCCAGTTATAAGACTGAACTGCCAGAACTTCTGATCTACCGGCTACACATTGGGGCTCCCAAGACTCTCCCCAGGGGTTCGATTAATTTGTTACAGTGGCTCACAGAGCTCAGGGCAACACTTTACTTACATTTACTGGTTTATTAGTTAGATGTATAATAAAGAATACAGGTGAACAGCCAGATGACAAGATACTCAGGGAGCTATCTGGAATGGTCCCAGCACTGGAGCTCCTGTCCCTGTGGAGTTGGGGTGCACACACTCCCTGCATGTGGATGTATTTGCAAACCTGGAACTTCTCTGAACCCAGTCCTTTTGGTTTTGTAGAAGCTTTAATTTGTAGGCATGATTGATTTCATTACTGGCCATTGGTGATCAACTCGATTTTCAGCCCCTCCTCCCTCTCTGCATGGGGTGGAGCTGAAAATCCTAACCTTCTAATCCAGCCTTGGTTTTTACTGTGACCCGCTGCCATCCTGAAGCTATCCAGGGGCCCTCAGCTACCAGTCACCTCATTAACATATAAAGGTGTATATGCTAATTACATAGCATATATTATTATGTTATATAATTATAATAATATATAATTACATCTATAATTACATGCTATATTATGTATGCTATCTAATAATATAATTAGCATACAATCCTTTATATGCTAATATGTAATTTTGCTATATAATTAGCATATACACTGCAAACACTCCTTAGATTCTACGGATTTCAGGAGTTTTATGCCAGTAAAAGATAAGGAAGACCAAATGTATATTTCACAAAAATCACACCTCCTAAGTGTATGACACTTCCTAAGAAATTAGCAGGTATTACAAATCAGATACAAAACAGATATAACCATCCCCTGAGGTTTTTTTTTGAAATGTGCATTTCCTCCTAAAACCAGGAAATGGCATAATGGAGATGAGAATTCAGATCTCTTGCTTTTCTCTTTAGTGGTCACTGAGGTCACTAAGTGTCTCAATGTGCTGCTAACATTCTGATAAAGACAGATGGGTAAGACCAAAGCTGTATTTCTTTTTAAGCCACTTGAATTATTTTTGGTGTCTGAATTTTTCAAAATTCCAACCTAAGTTGTGCTGCCTTCAAAACAGTCTTATTATTGGAATTATCACTGTGAATGAACATTATACTCTAACAGTGTAATATTATATGAAATAATACCGTTTAGTCCTTAAGATTGGTTGGAAAACAGTGATTGGGGGCATTTAAATCTACTTTAAAAGTGATTAAAGTAACAATTAATGCTACACTTCTTTTAAAATAAGGAGAGTATATTTTCATTGTAAGTATCTATTAATGACTGAAGTGTTCAGAGGAACTCCTGAATTCATCATCTGTGTTTAGATGAAGCAAAGACTAAATTTCCTTAACAGTTACTCAGTTGATTACCCTTGCTGGTGACTTGAGGAAAGAGTGGATAAAAACTGCCACTGCCAGCCGGGCGCGGTGGCTCCCTCCTGTAATCCCAGCACTTTAGGAGGCTGAGGTGGGCGGATCATAAGGTCAGGAGTTCGAGACCAGCCTGGTCAGTATGGTGAAACCCTATCTCTACTAAAAATACAAAAATTAGCTGGGCATGGTGGCACATGCCTGTAATCCCAGCTACTCGGGAGGTTGAGGCAGGAGAATTGCTTGAACCCGGGAGGCAGAGGTTGCAGTGAGCCGAGACTGTGCTATTGCAAACAAAACAAAACAAAAAAACTGCCACTGCCAATCTGGAGTTGGATGTTATCAAAACTGGTGATATCTGGGAGAGGGCAGAAGATGTTACCATCTGCAAGTTTAGGATGCTGAAGAAGTGTCAAGAAAATGATCAGAGACTTGCCACAGCCCAGAATTTATGTAAGTGCTTGAGAGACATCATCTCTCTTGAAGTCTAAGATATGATGGAAGGTGAGCAGAAAATCAACTTAGTTATTTGTTTGGAATCAAGCTGTGTCTTTGGAAATAGTTATAGAACGTGTTGCTTGGTTATTTATAAGCTTGGGTTCAGGGAGTTAATGCAACTGCAAAAACAAGCAAGGGGCCGCTGTCCTCTTAGTAAGGATGGTGTGTGCAGCTGAGTCAGAGGAAGGGTTGGAAGCCCAGCCCCAGTGCTGCCCTAGTTTTGGGACTGTAAGCAAAGTCTCAACCTAACTTGAATCCTCTCTGTTCCCATCTGTGAAATGGGTGCAAACCCTCCTATGTCCTGGGCTGTGGTGAGAATGAAAGGAGACCATGCATGTCAAGATCCAGGCAGGTGGTCTGGCTCAGTAAGGGAATGGTCATGTCACCCTGGTACTTAACACAGGGCTGGTAGCATTGAGCCTTCTGGACCTTCTGTGGCACTGAAGCAGGGGTCATGGGGGCCACTGGGTGGCGCCAGCAATGTTCAACCGGCAAAGAAGGGAAGGGAGAAAACAGAGCTCAGGGAAAGCTGGAGGAGGTCGTTCCTGGTCTTGATCCGGAAAACCACAGGGTTCTTCGTCTCGGTTTTCAACCACTTCTCTTTCTGTGTGTGTGTATGGATGTAGCACATTGTTATAATTGAGCTCAAATCAATTCAAGACTTTGATTATTATATGTTGTTACCACAACAAATATAGTGTTTTTTTCTAAGAATCCTCAGTAATTCAGAGAGAGGTTTTAACATTCGATTTAGATTTTTTATTCCTTGCCAGGCGCGGTGGCTCATGCCTATAATCCTAGCACTTTGGGAGGCTCAGGCAGGCAGACCACGAGGTCAGGAGATCAAGACCATCCTGGCCAACGTGGTAAAACCCTGTCTCTACTAAAAATACAAAAATTAGCTGGGCATGGTGGCGCGTGCCTCTGATCCCAGCTACTCAGGAGGCTGAGGCAGGAGAATCACTTGAACCAAGGAGTTGGAGGTTGCAATGAGTCGATATCGCGCCACCACACTCCAAACTGACGATAGAGCCGGGCTCCATCTCCAAAAAAAAAAAAGTATGTAAACACCCCACAAGGTTTATATCAGAAGTCAAAGCATTATGATCTGTCTGCATACTTTTCAGACATGGTGAGCAAGCATTCTGAACCCCCGGACCCACTTTGCCTGGTGGACCACTGAGGTTTTCTGCTCTCTAGTCTTGGGGTGCTGAAGCCCCAAGAGATTAGAAACAAATGCAGTTCTCTCCCACCTAGCAATCTGGGATGCAAGCTGAAATGTGAGCTCCTCATCCTCTGGAGAAGTTCAGCTGGCCAAACACTACTTTTCTTGGACTTTCGTGGTGGAATCATTTACTTTTCGTGGGGAAGAATGCTACTCAGAGATCGCTTTCACAGAACCAAGGGAATAATCTTTTCTTGAAAAAGACTTGCCTCAGGAAATAATGGGTCTCATTGGCTATTGTTAATTGGTGAAATAGTTTTTTTGGTCTGTGTAGATATTGTCAGTACCTCAGCATCATGAGTGTGGTGGGTGATTAATATTCTGGATATATTTTACATTATTTGATCCATAAATTCATAAATCATGGATGATGGGAAGAAAAGGAAATCTGCTTTTTGACACTGCTCTTCTTTGTATTATTTACTTACAAGTCCTGTTTTAAAGCATCCTATTGCTTGGTTGTCATTCCTTTGGCTCTTTGGCAACAGTTGGTTTTGATCCCAGCTCTCTGGCTCCTGGGCCCAGGCTGAGTGAGTGCCAGCCAGGGTAAACTAGTTCACCAGGTGTTCACACAGGTTCAGGACAACCTGCATTGTCCCCACAGCCCTTTCGCCACAGGAATAATTATGGTTTTCTCTCTTCCAAGGATGGGAAGGTGTGTTTCTATTTAAAACCAGGCAGATTCCTATTACTTCCTCATCTGTGCATTTCTCCTGACCAGGGATTTTTCTGCACATGATGGCTCTCGTTTGGTCCTTTTGCTGTATTCCTTTAGGGGAAAAGTTTCCTCGCTGCTTTTTCCTGAGAAAGCACGCTTCACGCTGTTCTCTAAAGAGAACACAGCAGTTGCTGAATTTTTAATGTGTTCCCATGAGAATGGTGGTTTCCAGCAGTCAACCTAGCCCACTGCCCGTTTTCTGGAAGTCCTTTTTGGGGTGAACCAGCACATGGCTTGCTGAAGAGCTTGATCCCAGGGATTCACTGCTAGA